AATCAATTAATTCTTTTTTGTTGTGACTTTTTGTTGTTTGATCATAAACTTCTACATTTTTTGATAATCCAATTATTCTTCGTTTATAATTTTGTTATCTAGGGTGTTTACTATAAATGATAACTTGTTTTTATTTCTTTAAGAAGTTTTGACCGTAAATAATAAAGCTTGGAATTTGGCATTAACGAAATTTTAACAAAAAAAGGTAAAAGAATTTTCATTTAAAAGTTGTCATAAAACTTGTCCATAATAACATTATTTTTTTCCAATTTCTCTTAGTTGCAACTTTGAATTGGAATTTGAAAGCTAAGAATTTTTAATTTTTTTCATTTTTCATTTTTTCAGAAATACAAAAGTTCGTATTTCTAAATATTAGCATGGTTTTGGCATCAAAACTCAGAATTTTGATCTTATATTTAATAAAAGTTGTTGTTCTTAATCAAAGCTTTTGTTTATTCAGAAAAGATTCCAACTTCAGATTCTCTATTGCCAAATTTTCAAAATGTAGAGAAAATGAAAAACTGGAAATTTACCTTTTCAAGATCTTGAAATTTCTGCTGAAAAACTTTTAGTGTATCTTAATGGAGTTTCTTTTTATAATCTGGAATTCTGCTTTCTAGGAGTCGAAATTTCAGTCTTAAAACTGAAAATTGTTTTTTTGAAGCTTAAATTTCTTAAAGTTTTACCTTCAAAGGCACAATTCGATATTAAATTTTAAATTTCGAACCAGTTTTTTCTTGAATTAGGTAACAAATTTACAAAAAATGATAATTTTATCTCTATTTAAAACTAGTTTTCCTACTGTAAGAAAAAACGATCAAAATTTTACAACTGGTTTTTTGACCATCTCTCCCGGACTTACCCTAGAATTTGTTGTAGGGCCGTCTCTCCCCATCGAAAATTAAATGTCTGTCTTGAATTTCACAGTAACTTAATATTTAGTTTACGTCTTAATACTTCTCGACGCATTGCCAAAATTTAATCGAATATAACATTCTGAAAGTTATAATTGAGTTCATTAGCGCCGACATAAACTTTAACTAAAACTAGTATTACTTGTGAAGTTTATATCAATATTCTGGTTCTCTCATCACTAACCTGTGACTCCTCTACGCCTATCCAAACATGACCACAATGCAATTTTCCATGCAGCCGCCCCTGAAAGGGTCCTTACTCCACTTTAATAAATAATATTATAAATATAATTATGGAAGCTAGTCTGGGACTGCTCCAAATTATATTTCATGTTGGCCAAATTTAATTTCAACTCTCGAACGCTGATAGGAAATTCTATTAATCTGTGACTTGTGTATTTGGGAAAAAAGTTTGGCCTACATTGCTTTATACACCCTTGACAATAATTCACGTGTAATCCACGCTCTAATAATTATTTTCTTTGTTACAGTTTCAGGTACAAACAACGGTTCTTATCATCCGTTTTCGGTAAGTGTTTTCTTTGATTAAAATCGCGCTATTTGCATGAATATAAAGAGGCATTAACATATTGGAGGAAATAAATAGAATCCAGCAATTAAATCGGTGTATTTATGAGTTTTCGTGTCAAAAAGCGAATCGCAAAAATTGCGATATCTTGAAACTTATAAATTAACGTGTGTGTGTTTGTGGTGGTGGTTGGGGGTGGTGTGAGGCCTCCCTCCCTAAATATTGATTACATTTTCGAATCTGGCATTCTCTTTATTCCGTTTTAAAAATTCCAATTCATCATGATACTTCGAGAGAACTCGTTGGTCGCAAAGCAGCAAAGCAAAAATCAAATATATCACATTTGGTTATCAAATATCGAATGGATAGGCTCTCGATCAAGCCCCGGAGCTAGCCGTTATTCCCAAATATAAAAAAACTGGTCTGCAATATCCACTCCTGCTGTTGGCTTAGTAAAAATACATAAATATAATGGATACAAATTGTCAATCGTCCTCCCTGGGGCTTGATTGAATGGGGGGCGGCGTCGCTGCGATCACCCCCTCTAACACGAAAATTACAAGGTAATCGACGATTCGATAAGGATGATAAGATTTTATCAGCTTCTCTATTTGTTAGGGAATTGTCTCTGTTCTAATCTAAACTTATTTAAAGCTGAAACTTGAAAAAGACTTGTTGTTCTTGCATTTGTCGGGGGAAAATTTAATAAAGTTCTCGCCTTATTTATATTAAAAATAAAAATGTGCTTTTTCGCAATTAAAAAAAGCTGTTTCATAATTTTCTCTTTTTTTGAACGTAAAGCCTCCCTCATACATGTATATCATAATGTATGTATCATATACATATACATCTGCATAAAATTTAAAAAAAGAGTGAGTTTTTTACGCTTGCAAAAATTTACCCTCTGCTCTGACCCATTAGTAATTCAGTCAACCCCGATCACATGTGGACAAAATTCGCTCTAATTATTGTAATGGATGGCGATTTCGTTGATTTTATTTTTAAATTCAGAGAAAAAAAAATGCAAATTATTAATACATGGAATTTTTGCGAACCGTTCCTGTTATTCAATTACTTTGTTCTGTTTGGTCATCGAAATGGCGGAACAATTTCATACGCAGCGCTTGTGTGCCTTGTTATCAAAGCAGTATTTTAAAAAACTACAGTGTGTTCCAAAATAAGTATTTGTAATTGATTAAGAAAGAATTTTGATAGTGCAAACACTTTGATTTGATGTACAAAATTTTTAAAAATTAAATTTGGAGAAAATAAATTCAATTAACTGGCACCTCATCTCAAATTTGGCCATAAATTACCCGAATTCCTCATTTTCAATATTAAAATGTTAATTACTCAAAATCTATCAACTTTTACATTGTTCAATTTTTAGTTACCATTAGAAAAAATCAAAATAAAAATTTTGAACAATATTAAAGCATTGGGTGTTTTAACAGAAATATTTATCTAAAATTTTGATTATAGCCATAATCGTTTAGTTCTTGCTCGATGAAAATATTTTCAAAATGACAGCACTTCCGGTTAAACCGGAAATGGGTATCAACTTCGTTATGTTATGTATTTTATTGCGTTTTTGGATTACTCTAGTGATTTTGAGAGAGTTTTTATTAGATTTCCTTATACCGTTTTTGAAATATTTAGACTTATTTGAAATTTTTTAAAATTGCATCTTTTCCTCCAAAAATCGATAACTCTACCAATTTTAATTATTTTGAAATCGTATTTGAGCATATGAAAAAGGAAAGTTAGATCTTTTCTTTCGCCCATTTATAATTGGAAAAATAATGAACAAACCTCCAAAATTTAAGGCTACGTTTGGGAAACTTCAAATACCCGTAACTGAATTTTTTGAAATGGAAGGCTCCAATTTTTTTTCCCTATACCTATATTTACTTATATTTCCCTATCTATATTTTATTTTACCTATTTTTTTCCCTATACCTAAATTTAATGATTTCCAAGTTATTTTAACTTTTTTTACAATGGAAGAAATTCATTACTATCCATG